ACAAAAATTAATATATCTCCTCGCAAAGTGGAAATTTTCAAGCCAGTTTTTTTAATGTTTTCACTTCTCCGACGATTGACTCCCGACGAATATTTCAGGCTCGAGCAAAATGATGTTACTGAATACTGTTACTGTTATTGAATGTTACTCGAGGCCAAATCAGCGAATAATTTTATGTAGTAAAACATCATTCATTATGTATATATAATACACGATGAGCGTTCGAAATCAAACAGCTAGCTAGGCAAATGTTGTACAGAAGAACAAAGTGAAACAGTCACTGAAGCATAGCGTTGAGAACAACGTTATGAACTCGTCACATTGTGAACGATAACCTCGCCGCGAAGCACATACAAATAACGAACCTATATAGCATACCAATACCACTAAAAACACTAAGATTCGAAAGAACTGCAGTATAAAGGAGGCGGATTACTGGTCATCTTCATAGACATCATCGACACACAAATCAAAGCTGCGAAACTCTCGAGAAGAAACGCTTCAAATAATTGGGAAATGGAAACTCGTATATTCAATCGATCAATTCAACTCGAACAACCAAATGAATCAATAGACAAAGCAAAAATTTACGAATATTCAACTGAATCACTCAAAAACGAACTGAAAATAAACCGTCGAGAACACTTCACTCATCTCGATTCTGAAGTATATTATAGTATAGATACAATCAAACGACAAATCAATGATGATAACAGACTTCAAAGGAATTTAATTTAACAAATAAAAACGAACTGAAATGAAGAACCTAGGGTTACAATATAATTATAAGAATTACGCTGAAACTAATAATAATAACAATAATAATAATAACAATAATAATAATGAAAACACGCCGAATGAATACAGTTTCAAATCTGGGATGAACTTCAATCTATTACTAGCAATATTATGATCATTACTATTATTGCTTGATTATTATTATCATTTATAATACACTTAATGACTGAAGAATCATGACAACATCAAATACAGATAGATAGACGTTTGAATGATTACAAGCAACGAAACAATGAACAAATGATCGCAAAAAGGCCTCTAGATGTGGGCTTGTTTTCGGCAGAGATGGGTTGTTGATGTATTAGGGTTGTTGAGTGAGTGCTGATCAAGGGCCGAACGGCGATCTCATAAACTGATCAAAAACGAACAATTCAAAGGCGACATCTGCTGATATCTGAGGATAACAGGTGCAAAGGTAGGGCTAATGACACTGAATGAATACTTTGGAACGAGGAGGGAATGAAAAAGGATTATTGGAGATACTAACACTTATCTGGAAAAGAAGTGGGAATCGATCGCAAAAATTTCATCCATCTACCATCCAAATGGAATTTCAGTGAAGCATCGACCCATTTAATGGAACAACAACGAGAACAACAACAACGTCAACTTCAACAATAACAACAACAATGAAATATCTACACGCAACAATTCAAATATTGTGGATTGTATTTTATATAAAATGATATAGCGATTATAAGGCAAATGAACATTATGAGACAGAATTTTGGTTGAGGACGGTTCGTAGACATTGATTGATACGATGAGGATGACGATGATCAGATGAGGCGCGCCCCTCAGAGAAGATTCTCTTAGCAGATTCATTCCTCTCATCCTTTCAAATATCTGCTTCAATTCCAGGTAGATGATGAAAGTCAACAAGAAAATCAAGGTAGAATAAGCTCCTCAAGACGGATTGGGTTGGTTCATTTTTGTGTTCGCTTGCATTGTTGTCTTATCTGTTGCGTTGTCGTTGTATCGGTTCAGTTGTTGTCACATGGTACGGCCGTCAACAGCCCGGAATCGCGCCATATGCTCAACTTTGATTTGGTACTCGAATATGCAGTTGAAGCGTCACTTTCTGACCAAATATCCTCAATGTACGTACCGTTCGTCGTATCGCGAAGCCACCTGTAATTGAAATCAGCAATAACACTGTTTAAAATACTATCCAAAATTAGTGGCATGGGTACGCACCCAAAACAAATATCTATATGAAATATTCAAAGATCTAATACAGAGAGACATCTAATGAATTCAGAGAAACTTGGGCGTTATACATAGTTTTCCGATGAATATTATGCTTAATAAATAGTCTCTTTCTTTCAAATATGGTGATTTCAAACAATTTTTTATCAATGAAACAATCGCTTGAACAATTAGTTAGTGTATAATGCATAATACCAGTCATTGCAGACGAATACTACTAGTGCATAATCGAATACTACTTACCAGTCATTGCAGACGTTCGATGTGGCCATATCCGGAGCTCTCGCCCAATTCGGATAAGCACTATAGATGGCCGGTGTGCGCGGTGAGTCCAAGTTACAAATAGGTGTTGTTATAGCGGCTGCTGTTGATGTTGTAGCAGGTGTTACTGGCGTTTTGAGAGCGGCTAAATCTCGTAGAACTCTTTCAACGTTGGATCCACTGAAATCAATGTCATTCTTGAATCTTTATAACACATCATCAATGAAACGAATTCTATAAGATTCATTTTCGTTACGAAAAGTGTAATCGTATAAAAGAAAAACGATTAGTACAATTTTGAGTTACATGCATAAGCTAGCGATTCCGATTAAGCCCGTTGAACGGCTTCGGCCCACAACCACTCAACAATAATGTCAACCTAAGACAGCCGGCGGCTGCGGCCGATGAGAATTTCCACAAATTTTCAACTCATCAAAAACGAAGATAACGAAGAAATCAAAGCAACAAATACGGGAACTTTAGATAGACTAATCGAAATACAATTTACAACCTATTATTTCACAGTTTAATTTGCATAAATTTAACAGAAATAAGAAAATATAAAATTTGTATAATTGTGTCTGAAATGAAAATTTTAGGAACAAAAACCTACTAATGAGCCATATCAGCGATGAATTTGTCAGCATTGAAATTCAACAAGAGCTCATGACGTTTGCTGCTCGATTTTGTTTCATCGGCCATTTTGTTCGTTTCATTTTCTTCAATTTTATCGCTGATCTCACTCGATGACGACACTGCATTCAAATCCAATGTGCCAGGTCTTTTTAAGTCGAGTGATTCCTTGAAATGGTACACGAGCATAAGATGCTGAATACGAAGTATGAAACAAATAATAGTATAGATTATATCTGTGTGTATTTCGGATTCCTATTTTCATTCCATTTAACATCACATTTTAACAAATTTTTTGCCAATCCCTCTCCATCACATGATT